GGGTACAATGACTACACCATCAACGTGTGGGACGTCCTGAAGGGGAACCGCGTGTCCATCCTCTTCGGCCATGAGAATCGGGTCAGCACGCTGCGATCAGTGTAACTTGGCACCGCTTTCTGCTATGGGTCCTGGGACCACCCCCTGAGGGTGAGAGAGGGCCCAGGGGGGGGGGGGGTGGTGTGCGGTGGATTGACATTTGGCATATAAGCGTCCCTGTGTTGTTAATGACTGCTGGGCCTGGGGAGTCTCCATACTGCGGAGGCGGAATGTGAAAGAGGAAGCAGGTACCTGAAGTAAATCGTATCTCACGATTCCGCTCTCAGTCAAGCCCACGCAGGTGCTGATTATGGGAAGGAAGCCGCACAGCACGGCACTCTCACCCTTCCAGTTCTAGTCAGTGGGCTCACAAATTTTCTCACTATTTTTATTTCTCTCTCTGCAGATTTGGGCCTAAGCTGTTTCATGGTGGGCGGAGCTTAGACTCTTGACAACTCCGTGTTGCCCAGCCTGCCTGGATGCCCTGTTCAGGACTTTAGCTTCAGTACCACCTCTAGGATTAGAGACATACTTCATTTTGTAGGATTTTCTAAAAACAGCAGATAACGTGAGCCATACGTGGACACCCACAGCACCTGAACGTGTTTATCAGTGCTCTGTAAGCACGCTTCTTATCAACACCCGTATATGAGGTCTTGTTACCATTTTACTAGACTTATGTGATTTGGCTGCAGCAGTCATTTGTAATGACTTTTCATTTTATCTATTTACCTCATATTTATGTTTATAGCCCTCGTATAAAGACTGCAGTATCCAGCTCTTTGTCGATTCTTAAACAGCATGTGGAATAGACCATTTTTCTGTCAAATAAAAAAAAGCCCATTTATTATTTTAATAGATAAAAGGCAAAACAATTTTTAAAAATCACATTTTGTTCTGTAAAATTGCTAGATTAGATTGTGATTTAAAATTTTCTTTTGTATCTAGCAGATGGTCAATTTTATGGTGACATGACTGCATGAGACTACTGTAACAGAATAAAAGACATATATTCAGAAAAACAAATCACATACCGTGGTAATTTCAAATAACCTCCAAGATTGTCAAATCGGTAAATCAGACAGTACTTAATAATCATAAATATCCATCCATCCATCCATTTTCAAAGTGTTCATCCTTATTGAAGTCACAGGGGACCTGGAGCTGAGCCCTAACCGCTCCAGGTACTCAGCCGGGTTGCATCCCAGACAGCATGCCAGTCCATGGCACGGCACCCCATCATGTTCTGTGGATGATTTACAGCACCTGGAAACATGCAAACTACACACACAGCAGAGTCAGGATTCAAGCTTCCAACCCTGGAGGTGTTCAGCAGCAGTGTTACGCAGTTAGACACCCCTATATATATATATATATTACCTCGTGTGTGTGTGTGTGTGTGTGTGTGTGTGTGTATATATGTATAATATATATGTGTGTATATAGGGGTGTCCATGTATGTATGTATGTATGTATGTATGTATGTATGTATGTATATACATATATGTATAATATATATGTGTGTGTGTGTGTGTGTGTGTGTGTATATATGTGTATATATGTATGTATATATATGTGTATATGTGTGTGTATATAGGGGTCTCTATGTATGTATGCATATATGTGATATATGTGTGTGTGTGTGTATGTATGTGTATGTATATATGTGTGTATGTGTGTGTATATATATATGTGTGTGTGTATGTGTATGTATATATATGTGTGTGTGTGTGTGTGTGTGTGTGTGTGTGTGTGTGTATAATCCTTTATGTACATCTGTGAGCAGTAAAATTAAGAGAAGTGAATGGTGGAGTAATTGCACGTCATTACATAAACACGTCAACAAAACTAAGGGACGGCACTCACACTTAATGACGTTGTGGTCGCACGCACAATTTGTGAGTAGCAAAGGAAAAGTAGCAAAAGAACTAAAACATTTACACATTACGTAACCAGTACATGGATTCAGAGAAGACCTGAACCCCACCAGTTTGTGGGGTGACCACCCGTGCGGATTCCGTTCTGACACCCGGTTCTGTCCGGACTGCTGTTGGTTGTGCTCCTTTCAGCCCCTTTGTCCTCCTTTTTCCATGCCCCATTTCCCCCTACACTCATCCTCGTCAGCAACCAGCGCTACTCTCTCAAAGCCACGAACGCACAATAAATGTGAAACACACGAAAATACATTTTGCTTGTCATTTCTTCCTGCTCAACTCTTTTAAGTTTTCAACTTACAAATGAAAATTTAAAACAAGTCCGCTTTTTCTCTCTAGCTCTAACATTCAGCTCGTTCTGGAAATGCCCAACAAAGGAGATAACCTTACATCACAATTTTACTGCTATTTCTTTATAAATTTATATGCTTGAAATGACATGTCATACTTTGCAGGGGCGTCAGAAACATTTTGAATGTGGGGGGAAACACTGGCATAAACCTAATATTTTATGTTAAATGTGGGGGGGGTCCAAACGAATAATTATGAAATGTGACGGGGACACGTCAGATTTAATGGCGGCGACGCCCACGATACTTTGACATGCATAGATGCTTCTCATTTGCCTTCTCAGCGTATAGGCAGCGTTCGGTCAGATGCTCTACGGCTGACGTCATCCTACAGGAAGCCGCAGAGATAGGAGTCGGAGCCGCAGCCGGTCCGCCACTGTCTGGCTGCTCGCTGGGAGGACAGGCTCCGACTCCGATCCGCTCCGCTCCGGCTCCGCTGGGAGGGTCAGTCCGCATTCGCTTTCTGCCTCCGTACTAACAGTCGGGTTCGCGGCGCTGATACCCGCTTCACTGTATCCAGTTTCACTGGAGAAACTTGCCGATGTATTTTACACAACGTGGCTACTTCGGGCCCGTAAAGTTTTTTCTTCTGAGTGGTTTCCTTGTGTCTTGGTTAATTTTTCAGATGAAATGGTAGCAGTGGTCACCAGTAAAGGTGACTGGGCACAGCGGCTCCGCCGGGCTTTCGCTCTCCGCCCGAACCTACTTTCAGCTTCATTTCGCTTTAAACCTTACATACTTTTACTACACATAGCCTATTTGACTAAATCGCGTGTATTTATATCTCTGTTTTCTGCATTTGCTCTTGATTAAATTATTATTGACTGTGTATCTATTTTAGCCTGAAACTTCTTGTTTCAGCTTCATATTTAATTAGCTGTTAGTGTGTTAGAGCTTATTATTCATCAACCGGCATTTGATGTTCATCAAAATTTCATTTACGTGGATTGAACTGAACTGAACTGAACTAACTATAAGATACGGCTGTTTAATGTCCTGGAGTCGATATTTAGCAGTGTTAATGTTTATTGTCCCTGTTAATTTATTCATTTTTATATCTGCGATTTAAAAAAAGGGTCCATGTGTCAATTTCAGTATTACACCAATTCCTTCATTGAGTCATGATGAAATGTAATGTGAAAGTTTGCTTATTTTCAACAAAAATAACGTTTCTGACTCCCGAAATAAAATTATGGTAAACATTAGCGTCAACTTATAATTTAATGATACTCAGCATCTCCTGTTATAGATGGAAAATGTGAATTTCCAAAGAAAAATTTTCCCCAAACAAGAAGTGTAAGCATTTCTCTTTAAAGATATATATATATATATATATATATATATATATATATATATATATATATATATATATATATATATATATTTATAGTAATAAAATATTTCCAGAAAGGAAGGAACACGAAATCCCAAACATGACGTTTTGGTTTCAGGTTCCGTTGGTTTCATTTAGCTAGTTTTGTTACACTTTGTGTAATTTTTTTCATGAGGGGTAGGGGATTCAGAGCAGGCATACTGAGGTCACAAGAAGAAAAAAGGCCATTAGTTATCGAATCACTGAGCGTCTCAAGTATAGCAGTGTTTCTCGTTCTGTCTTTGCAGTGAATATGAGCAGCTCATTGCAGAATGAAACCCTTATGGTGGCAGATGATTACATGAAGTTCTGCATCGGAATCAGCAGCACACCTCCCAGTGAGTCAGCTAAAGCAATGCGATGCCTGGCTAAGGAGGTGGAGAGCAGCCAGGGTCCCACACTGCGTGCTCTAGTGCAGACGTTCCTGATTGCCTGTGGCGCTGACCCCTGGACCGGTCTGAGGAGCGTCATGCTCGAGCTGGTTGGAGATGGAAGGTTGAACTGGGGCCGGGTCATCTCACTCTTTGCCTTCACGGGAATGCTGGCGAGCGAACTGTGTTCCAGGGGAGAAGATGTCAGCTGCAGCAGACGACTAGCGGAGATGATGGTCGATTTTCTCAATGGAGAAAAACAAGAATGGCTGATCCAAAATGGAGGCTGGGTAGGTGTGCGTAATTATATCAGGCAAACTGCCATTTTTATATGGTTTTCTATTATACAGAGATATTTTTCTCTCCCAAATTCCCAAGGAAGGAAGGGCCAATTTAAATGGTTATACTTAGCATAAGGAAATGTTTATCAGATTTCCTCTGTGGCTATCTTGCCTAAATTAGGAAGTAGGTGGTTAGACCACCAAAGCACTCCCAAGAACATGTAATCTCGGGGAACACATTCCCAGCATTCTTCTGAACTTTTCATTGTTCTGTGTACAAAGTCTAATATGTCTTCTTTATATTGTTGCCAGAGATACATTTCCAGTTATCTTGGCAAATGCTTCTTTTTTAAAAGTAATTCAGCGTTACTTCAACACAGGGACATTTTTTTGAGAAATCAAGTGATTATAGTCTAGTGTCTTAAAGTCAGAAGGTCTCAGCTCACAAAAATGCAAAGAACCAAAGAATGTACAGAACAAGCTGCTAAGGAGCTTTTGTGATTGGCTGAGCCATGTACAGCATTCGGTGACTGTGGGAGAGACTGAACATGCATTTAGGATCTTGCTGGAGAGGATGCATGAGACCAAGTCATGAATTTTTGCTCCTCAGCTTTTTGTGTCACAGACACAGAAGATTTTGAAGCCTTTTGAGGATCCTCAGATGTATCCCATCAAACGTTCAACCCTTTTTAGCAACTCTGTTGTATCTGAAATTTCTGTCCTGATATTTGAACTTGCCAACTCAATATGTACATACCTTTCCACTTTCATGGTGAACAGTAAATAGAGGAGCTGTAGGAGAGAGTTCTGAGACGTACATCTTTTAAAGACTTTTGTCCTTTGATAGACTCTTGGGGTTAGTACCTCAGGCAGGTGTAAAGTACAACGAGGCAGCACTTGGAACACCTGGGACAAAATTCACCTGGCTTCTTTCAGACCGCTGAAAGGTCAGTGTTTTGGTTGCAGGTGCTTCTGTACACAAACACTGAATGGAGCAGCTGTCGACATGGCTAGTCTGTTGGCTGATCATTTTTAAGGGGGAATTCCACTCAGAAATTATGCTGCGGGTTTTTTTTTTAATTTCCCCCAATCATTTATCCAGCTCTGTATTAAACTGAAATTCTGTCAAATACATAGGGAACAGAGAAGTCCTTTACGGGTTTCACTTCACTCTGACAACAGCACTGCTTACAGGCCTTCTGGGTTCTCTGATGTGTGCTGAGCAGAACAGCAGTACAATGGCCTGGTATTTACATTAAAGGGGAAGTTCCCCCTGCAGCCACATGCTCATTTTTTTGTTGTCAATGAATTTTGGTGGAACACCAAGGAAAACACCCGGGCATTTTATTGCTCGTAAAAATAAAATGACAGGTATTTGGTGTTTACATTACAACCTGATGAGAGAGCACAAGCTTATCTTGTCACAGTGAGCACCGCCTTTAAAAGCATGTGTGTTACAAAGGTCCTTAAGATCAGCTTATCCACCTTGCGAAACTGGCAACCCAACCTGGGCATGCAGAAACTCTCCCACGCAGCTGTACTGAGCTGGTGGTGTATGTGCAGGATGAAACACCATTAATGAATGCAGGATATGATGGAATGCTTCACAAAGAGCAATACGCCAATGTCAGGAGGAACATGCTCACTGCTCACTGATTCCTCAGATGTGAGCGGTTTGCTGTGCTGTTGACATTGTTGCCATAATACTGAAGATGTCGCAAACAATATTTCTGAAGACATGAAAGTGAGAATGACACATATTCTTGCTTGTACTTATACAGTAGGTGTACCTGTTTGGGTGTCTCCCCCTGCTTTGTCTCCTAGGTTGCAGCTGGCATTTATCCTCTTTGTCTCTTGTTTAGGGAGGATTCACCAATTTTGTCCACACTGCAAGACCAGCAGATCAAGATTCATCCATGAGAAAAGCTCTCTACGCAGCTGCAGGCGTGGGGATTGCTGGGATAACCTTTCTCCTCGTACGCTAGTTAAAGATATTTCCTTCTCATGTCATTCAGAAAAATGTTCTTCATGAAAGATGTTTCATCATGGTTTTGTTCATTTGTTTATGTACAAGACCATTTACATGAACATTAGAAATTACCTGCATCTTGGTGGGTTTATCTATGTCATATTATGACATCATTACCATTACAGTTATTCAGGGGTTACATAGACAAAGAGAGGTTTAACAAAACAGAAGACAAACTCCATTCTGGCCAAGTTTGACTGTGGGCTTGTCAACAAAGTGTCTATGCTTTCAGATCATTTTGTATCATGGAAGAAAAACAAGATTTTGGTTATAATTTTAATTTATTTTTTTAAGCGTAGCCAAAGTGGATTTTTAAAACTGACCAGTTTTATTTTTTTGGAACAGTTCATTACTTCTGTCAGTTTCTGCTTCCATTCTGAAATGGTTTTAGAAAAATAAAACCTCATCCTACACCCGCAGAAATTCCTGTTTCTCAAAAAAAAGTGCTTTTCCCTTTAAAAACGTGACTGTGGTATGAAATGTCACAAGCTTTGGGCTACAGTGATGTTGCAGCCTTTCGGTGGTGCCACTTACAACGTGAGTGTCTTACGGCAAGAGCGCGGCTGGGGCATGTTTACAGCCAAGCGGGTGGTGCTGAGGTGGGTGCTGTTAGGTGAGTGCTGCAATATGGATGGTGAGTATTGCCTTAAGTCCCTCTGGTACCTATTAATGTCTCTTCATGTGTCAGGGGATTTACACACCTGCTCTGGTGTTTTTTTTTTTTATTATTACTGTAATATTTGTATTTTGATCAGTACAATTTTTAAACTGTGGCATCATTATTTCTATGATGTCATAGCGGTGGCATGGTGTCCAAAGTCAGGAGTGCAGGAAACTGTGTTTCAGTGACGCTGGTGTATTCTTTGACCAGTCACCATTCTGGACACACCAACTGAAAATCATTAATTTTTCAAAAAGATAACCTCGACTGCTTAGGGTCGTTATGTAGTAAGGATTATCTTGTGAACAAGGAAAGAGATGGAGTGCTGTGACAGATGACCTAGCCCCCACAATCCCCCGACCTGAACTCTGTAGAGCGGGTTAGGGATTGGATCAAAGATTGGATTGGATCAAATAGTAGAAGCAAGGTAGCCAACTTGTGCACAGAGCTTGTGGAAAGTCCTTCAGGCATGTTGGCGAAACTAGTTTATCTGTAAGCTGATTGAAAGAATGTCAAGAGTCTGCAATGATGTCATCAAAGCCGAAGGGGATTATTTTGAAGAGTCTGAAATTTGAGAAAATTTTGAGATGTTCAAGACTTCTTAGTCGTTGCAGTGTGTGATGTGTATTACTTCTTTGCCTCAAGGCCTTTTAAAATAAGGTGAATAGCATAACTTATACAAAGACAAATGCATTAAAGCAGGTGTGTTCAGATTTTTGACTGGTACTGTATGTCTGCCTATAGGAGTGTATCCCCTACTGATCCCAGAACTGCCTGTTCTGTTCACCATCCCACCTGTTGCTTTTGTTATCAAACTGACTTTTGTTTCCTTATGTGACAGTGGTACTTTTTCTTATGTATTTTTTTTTTTTTACTGAGACCAAAAGTCCCAGACTTTCCACATTGCGGTTAAAAAAATCCCACCCTTGTCCACAGATGACGGAGATCTTTCCCTGTTTTTGATGGAAATGACAGTGCCACCAGGCTCGAAATAGCTGTCCGAGGGATGGGCACAGCAGTGCTCCGTGCTGGTCTGATTTTCCATGGAGGTTGTGGTGACAGTTTTGAATGGAGGCCTTTTTCTCCTGTGTGTGTCTCTGTCTGTCCGCAGTGTCACTCACAGCCATGAAATTGGTGTGTGCTGCTGCTGACTGTGTTCAACTGCCACTGAAATGTCCACTGTGTGCGAAACACGTCCCACGTTCTAAAAACTGATCTCATCTTGGTCCAGCAGGACGTGTTTTGGTGCCTGGTGTGGCATACAGCAGCAGTCTGTTCACGGTTTCTTTGTCAACCTTTGTGCGTGTTCTGCTCGCCTGAGAGCGTCTTCACAGCGATGTGGCACCTGTGTTCACCCGCTCATTACCGCCCTCCTTTGGCAACCGTTGCTAACTGCACGATTTCAGTTCCCAAACCTCAGCCTTATCCCGACACACTGCACACTTTCTCCCATGGCCCTGCAACTATCCATTGGGACTTTCCCGTCCCCGAGCCACAGATCCCAAAACGCAGCAGCCTCACTGCACAGAGCTGCTGGCATTCGTCGTACTCCTCAGCAGCTCTGCTTCGGGGACGAGGCAGTGCCACTGTCAAGGACGAGGGTTTCCTCCCGCTCTCTGCACTTCTAAGAATTCAGATCCATAAAAACCGCTGAGCTGCATCCTGTCACAGTGCTGGCTGCGTTTGCAGCGTTTGTGGGTGGGACCATGCGGCCAGGCTTTCCTGGAGTTTAAGGTGCTGCAAAGAAAAAATGCGTTAACCTCTCAACTCATTTAAACAGGCCTCTGTGATGACTACGACATAAAAGGTGATGCCATGCATATAAACTCAGTATCACACACTAAAATAATACATTCCCTCATCAGAAGACAGTGACATTTCCGTCTCTGTCTCGTACGCAATTTGCTTATGTTATGGCTGCTTCAGTTCTTATTTGTTTTTTTTCCTCCTACTTATTTTCCTATGAGTCTTTCCCGGGGTGGACAGGGTAACCACTCAGTGTCGGGCTCCAGGTGTGAAGGGTCTCTTTCCATCAGGCATTTTGCTTTGGTCCTCATTACTTTTCGGGGGGGGCGAGGCTGTCTGAGATGGCTGTGTTTGTCACAGTGTCTGCGTGGGCATGGTCTCTTCTAGAAAACAGCTTCCTGTGTTTTTAAACTGGAAAAGGTTTGTGTTCCTACGCTTTTATTAGGCCCTAAGTTTCCTAATAAAACTGAGTTAGGGTGTATAAATACGGTTTGGTGGGGTGTGATGTCACCTGTCTCACAGTGATTAAGCTCTGTTGCATGGGTGAGCCACGACTGTTTGTTGACTCTGCTGGACGTGGAGACGGTGGTAAAGGAACTTTCTATGATGTTCGGAGGTTGAAGTCTCCTGAAAGGAGCTCCACAGAGCTGCTCTGTGAATAAGCCCTTTCTGCTCCATGGCCTCTGTGGGTCTCCCACGCTTACGCTCAGCTGACACATCCATTACTGGCTAATCTGCAGCTTCCTTGTCAGGGTGGGATTCCTTTCCGTACTGACATTCCTCTGTTATTTCTGGAACAATCTGACGCATTGTGATATCTTTAACCAGTTCAATACCGGATTTGCTGCAGATTTTTTTTTTTTAAAGCATCTGCTCTGAGGGCTTAATGAGAGAGTGGGATTCTCTGAGGCTAGCAGCTTAGTGGAAAAACACCCCTGTAGCATTTCTGCATGAAAGACAAGCTGACTGCAGAATTATCCTGTCAGTCATGCAACAAATGGCAATGAGACTAAATGATTAACCATAAATAAACCTCAAAAACACGATTGCTGAATTGGAAGCTCTGTTGGAACTTGGTGAATATAGGGTCTTGGGAACTCTTGAGCTGTGTGAAACCCACTCATTGAGAAACACTTCCTAAAATGGGCAGTTTTGTCTAGCCCGAACCACAAGACCAGACCGTCACCACTGAACTATTCAGGGAAGTCCAAAGTGCTTAGAGTATGGCATTCGTTCGGATGCGGTGGCCCTTGGACAGAGAACAGGCATGTGTTGGGGGGGGGGAGGTGGCTTCAGCATCTGCTCCTTTTGTCTGAATGATCGAAAGCGCACCACCTTAATGTTGCAGGTGCCCTTCTTAGATAACCAAAGGTCACACAAAATCACAAGGGAGACCCCCTCCCCCCCGATCACAAAGATTTACCAAGGGAGACCCCCACGCCTGTATCCTAGAATTCCTCTTTCAATGTCAATGCTTTGAAGCGTTCTTCCACCCAGGCTCGCCCCGGCCTATAGGCGATATAGGCGATCGCCTACAGCAGGGGCGAGGATCTTGATCCACTGAGAGCCGCTGTGGGTGCCTACCCCTGATCTAGGGAGCCATTAGATTAGGGGGCACAATAGAGTGAATGAAAAAAAAATAGAAGAAACACCTTTGAGTTGCATTAGGTGACATTACACTTATTTACACTAGTTTTAGTATTTCACTGCTTATGAAACTGACCAGAGTATCTAGTTAGCAGCCAGATACCCTGTGCTAATGAGATGTTTTTAATATAAATGAATTGACAAAGTTTGTTTTCGGCTGGAGATGGGGACAGTCAGCAGAATCTCGCCTAGGGCGCCAGAGCACCCAGCGCACCCAGCGCAGGGCATGGACAAGCTCTTTGGCTGCGGTGGTGTTCTCTCTGTGATATGGGCTCATACTGTGGATTCAGTGTACAATCTGCTATTAAAAGATGCCTGTTCTGCTGCTGTGGTTCATTGCAGGCACTTACACAGCCAGTGAGCTCGTTCCCTGCTCGTTCCCAAAATTTCTCCCTGGGATCAATAAAGTTAATCTTAATCCAAACTGTCATAACAAACTTTGACACGTCGTAAAGTTCGGGCTAAGATATAAACCTGAAAAGTGCGATGTGAGACTTGCTCTGATCATGCAAAAAACACGCAACACTGGGATGGAAGGATAGAGTTTGATGTAGTTTTTATAAAATACTATGAAAGAATGTAAACAACCAGCAGCTTCTCTGGCTGCAGTAGGAGGGGAATAACCAAAGAAACAGATTGAGCCTCAGCTCATAGGAAGCGCAACGAGCAGGACCAGACCATAATGTCTGGGTGTGTTACAACCAACAGACAAAACAAAAGTCATGTATATTATTGGTTATTTGGCACATTTTACCTCACCCTTTTATACCAACTATTATTAATGCTCTTGGAAATGAAAGCATCTTATAGTTATCAGTAGTGAGGAATGTGTTTTCCAAAACTGAATATGCAGCTCCGGAAAAATTTAAGAGACCACAGCAACATTTTTAGTTTCACCCATTTCTCAGTTTAAAAGAAGAAAACATACTTATTCCTCTGTGTAAAATCTACATTTTTTTTGCAAACTCCAGCCTGGCTCTTCCCTGTTTCTCATTGATGAAGGACTTCTTCCTTGCTTTATGGGTCTTCAGTCCTGTTTCTAGGGATCTGTTATGAACTGTCCTAGCAGTGCACTTCACATCACTTAATGTTTACCATTCCTTTGGAAGGTCACTTGAGGTCATCCTCCGATTTATGAGGCACTGCCGGGTAAGTTGACAGTCATCTCTGGCATTAGAAAGTTGCTTCTGCCCTTTATCTGTCTGGTTTTTGGTCATTGCCAGTGTCTCCTGCTTCACCTTGTTCTTGTGTACTGCCGTCTTGGAAACTCTGAGCCTGGAAGCAGCCTGCCTTGCAGTGTAGCCTTCTGCCAGCAGAACCAGGATTAAACCAGGAGTTAACAATGCAGATCTTTTTGAAAAAATAGAGTGGTCTCTTAATTTCTTCCAGACCTTTATATGTCAGAAATTGGCCTTTTCTGTATGGCAATAACTCAGGAAAACGCTCATGGTTAGAAGGGGATGAACACTGGCTGCCTACGGGTGGATAAAGCTGTTGAAATCAGTTTATGCTTCATGGTGTAGCACTGTCTGCTCACAGTGATGCCATTTCCTTAGTTTTTTTTCTATCAGAAATGTTAACACCAAAGACATTATTGGGATATTTCGTTAGTTCAATTTCCAGGAACTATGGAGAGTTACCCTGCACTCTGATTATTTTTGTCCTTTTTCTATAGCATTTCATCTATGTCTGTTTGTTTTGCACAACCCAAGTGAATGGGATTTGGAATTCTCAAAACCGAAATCCTTCTAATTAGTCATTAGTTTTATTGAACCCATGTCCTATGGAATAACTAGTCATTCTGACTAATAAGTTAACATAAACCGCGCCCTGTATCTTCCTGGTTTTTAACTTTCCAAAACTACGTTATACGCTTATCATTGTTAAACTGACCTCGATCGTTTTAATTCTCCGATATGATATGATGTTTTATTGGGTATATTTCACGTGCGAACCGAATCAACGCCCACAGCCTTCGGGACCATAAACTGATCAGAGGCATGACGCCCTGTCATACCGCATAATAAAACTATAGGACGAGCGCTCAGGAATCTTGCTGCTTATCGCTGATGGTCTTTCTATGAAACTGAGTCCAACCCCGTATAATTTTAATGATTAAAGTTTCAAAATTTTGTAGAACTAGAGGATATATACTTTTTGACAGGACTACTCATATTGCGAAGTGGATTGTCGTGGTTTCTTTTGATAACCTTCCTGCCAGAGTGTTGTGCATCGTTTCAAAGAAATGCTTAAGATTTTTGACAGCTTACTAGCGGTTTCCGAATTTAGCGAGTGTGACATATGAAACATCGCAAATTAA